TTGACCCTCGTCCCCCCGAAAGATGGAAGGGTTTTTTTAAAAAGGTTTGGGGCGGAAAAGGCCTAGAAGGGGTTTGGGTTTTCCCCACAAAAAGGGAGGAGAAACGACTGACACGTTCCCGGGGGGGTGGGAAAAGGTTGGGGATGCAAGGGGCTTGAAAGGGGTTTTTGGTTTTTTTGGAAAAAAAAGGTGGTGGCCCGGAAAAAGGAGAAGGGAAAAAGGGAGGGGAAGCAGGGGGGGCCGACAAATGGGAAGTACAATAATATGACCAAATATTTGATGGAAGACTAGAGGCCAAATCATTAATAGCAAGGAGAAAAGTGTTGTGCTCAGAACACATCCCTGGGGGACACTTCAGCTTGGACAAAATCCGGGGAGAGCACATTATTAACCCAACACGGAAATGCCTGTCAGTTAAAAGTTCTTAAGGAAGGATGGTAGATTGCCCCGAAGGCCTAAGGAGTGGCTTGGCTAAAATATTATACCTCCAAATTGTGTCATATGCTTCTCAGTCAAAAAATATGGCAATAACGGAGTGGTTATTCCAAAGGCATACGACTACGTACAAGCGCCCAAAGGGGTCTATGGGGGAGAACGTTTTCCCCTTTCGAAACCATATTGAGAGTGGAGAGACTGTTGTGTGTCTCTAAATACCACACTAAACGTCATTTACTAGACGTTTTCCCTTACTTGCAAACTGCACTGGTAGAGCAATGGGACGATAGTGGAGTTAGTCCGTATGCCTGTTTGCAGAAAAAGGGAGAAAATGGCGATTTTTCACTGTGGAAGAACTCCTTGGACCAAATAAGATTGTAAAGGCGTAATAGGACTCAAGGGCTGACTGATGTAAATGTTGAGCATACAATATGAATGTCGACGGGCCCAGCTCGATGAACGACAGCTAGAGTGTTGCCTCCATTCTTGAAGTGTAAAAGGCACATATACTGTTTCTGAAGAAGAAAAGTCCAAGGGTGCTAACCTTGCAGACTTTAGGAAAGAAATGAGGGGCATAGATGGATCCCTGAGAAATACGGACCAGATGATTTCCAATTTTCATTGGCAACATCTAGGGGTTTGCTATATACCCGCACCGCCAGAACAGGAGCCGGTCAGGGGAATATTTTCCACTCATTTTCGAACTTTTTCCAGACTGCACCATAGAGGAAGAGCAGAGGTGATGGTGGAGACATAATATCGCCAGCAAGTGTGTTTAGCCGTCAACGGATGACACGGCGGAGCGATTCGCACACTACTGTTTAAACTCAAGAGTAGCTGTTCTGTGGTTCTTTGTACGGTACCTGCACCATGCAGCCGCCGTTTCAAAACGTACTGCACGAGCACAAGCAGGGAGACCAACAAGGCAGCATTCTGAGAATGCCTGCCCGAAGTTTGGGTATGATGAGGGATGCTGCGGTGAAAACGGAGGACGAGAAGAGGTGTAAAAGTCATTCGATGGAGGACGAATGAAGGAACCTCTTTAAAAACAGTCAGGTGTGAGTAATAAAGGTTCCAATTGCCCGATTAAATTGCCAGCGTGGGGTGCGATGAGGTGGCGAATTTGATGGGGAAGTAAGAATGTTGGGAAATGATCACTGTCATGTAACGTCCGGGAGAATGACCAAGTAAGTCTAATGCGGCGGAGGAAGAGCAAACTGAGAGATCGTTGCAAGGAGAGTTGAGGTCCGAGGATCAAAATGGGTGTGAGTACCTGTATTTTTAAACATGGAGGGCGCGTGGTGTGGCAAAAGAAAAAGCCTCTAACTGATTCACGGGAATCTACAGTGAGACCTCCCCAGAAGGAATATGGTGGGCATTAAAATCACCAAGTAACAGAATCGGTGGCCGGTAATGACGAAACAAGGAAAGGCAAAATCCGGAATAGATAATGCCCGAGAAGGAGAAGAGATATAAGAACAGGCGTTATACACTATGTAAGTGGTTACGGGTGCTGTGTAATGCAGCGAGTATGAATAAATGCTGATGGTACGGATATCAGTGCGGAAGAAGAAGGGCTATTTCATTAAAAGGTCCCATCAGGAAAAGATCTGAAGGAATACAATAAATTATAGCCATGAGATGTGAGAAATAAACAGCAGAGTGTATAATTTGGTTCCTGTACGCAAACACCAACAGGGGCTCAAACTGGGAAGAGTAACATCTGAAGATCACCGATTACCCCTGAGGCGGTATATTACACTGTAAAAAGGCCAATGATGGCAATGATAAAAGATACTTGAAATCCGCAGGAAGGGTTCCTACGGGACTACGAAGGGCTATTTTGAAAAGTCCAACATGCGGAAGGCAGTGGAAAAGGTTTCAAGAGCGAAGGAACGGTGCGCTGTTTGAAGAAAGGAGTGCGCAGATGGTGCAGAGGACGAGAGATCATGAGCGGAAGGTGGGGGGATCTGTGTCCATTGATGGTTTGGTTCTGCAATATATTCAGAGATTGCTTCAAGTGTTTCGGAATTCAGAGATGTCGTATGGGAGACAATATTGGGAATGGTAGGGGGAGGATGAGTAAAGATTGGAACTGTATTGGACTGTACCAAGGTAGGGGGGGCGAAAGGGTGGAGGGAACTGGAGAAGCGTGGCAGGGGGACAGAAGAGACAGGAACCTGGGAGGTGGCAGAAGAGGAAGAAACTTGGGAGGGAACAGGGGAGGAAGGTACATTACGAGGAGGAGGGTGAACCTCTGCACTTGTAACTGAGCCAGTGAGAGGGGAAGAACTAGGGACAGAGACAGGGAGGGTAAAATGAGGAGGTGGAAGATGGGTAGGAGGTGTTACCGGACCTTTTTTTGACTTTTGAGAAGTAGAGGGACGATTGGGAAGAGGTGTCGTACGAGGTCTCGTCGATACTGAGGCTTGTAAGAGAGAACTCGAAGAAGCGAGATTAGACTGAGGCGTTGAAGTAGGGACGTCTGAGCCGAGGACAGCAAAAGGATTAGATACAGGAGTGATTATGGGAGAGGTAACCACAGAGGTGGGTGTAGAAGATGGGATACCAGAAGTGGGGGGACGTTTTGAAACACGGGAATAAGAAACACGTGGGAGTCTCCCTTGGAGGCGGAGATGAGAAACTGCCATGGCATAAGGGAGACCTTCTGTCTCTTTGAGGTAACGGATTTCCCGCTCGTTTAAATAGACCTGACAACGGCGAGAGTACGAAGGGTGAGCCTCATGACAGTTAAGGCAAGAGGGAGATCGATTGCAAGACGTATTAGAATGGTCATCGGCACCACAGACTGGGCATTCGGCGATAGATCTGCAATATTTCGCTGGATGGCCAAATCGCCAGCAATTTCTACACTGTTGTGGTGTAGGGATCACCTTTCGAACTTGTAACCGATGTCCTGCTATATAAACGGAGGATGGGAGTTCTCTGCTGTCAAAAGTTAAACGAGCCACATTGCTAGGGTATCGTCTCCGCCCACGGGCAGGAAGAACGTAAGTGTCTACCTTGAGGATTGGGAGATCTTGGAGTTCCAGCTGTTCTAGGATGTCGGTGCCACATGTCTGGAAATTTTGTTGAACTATGGTATGGGGCAGAATAACGGTACCACTACAAGAATTGAGGGAATGATGTTTTTCAAGGGTGACAGGAACAGTATCTATATGGGAAAGACGAGAGAGCTCACGAGCCTGGGTAGCATTCTGTACGGTAATGATGCGCGTACCGCTCTTAAGAGCATGAAAAGAAATATCTTTACCAACATGGCGTAGGAGTGCCTTGCCAATACTATGGTCAGAAAGATAGGCAGTAGAGGAAGTTGGTCGTAAAGTGAAGAATTTAGTCCACTGTTCAGTCTGAAACTGAGCGTGGAAAGGTAGTGAAGGACGTGTCGATCGTTTCTGAGAAGAACGAGAAGGTGAAGGTGGAGAAGTATCATCAGCAGGTAATTGTCGTTGACGTTTAGGCGTGGGACCAGAGTTGGTCCGACGTGGAACGGGTCGGCGATTTGAAAATTGCCGCACCGTAGAGGGAGAGGCCGGAAGCATAGTCAGAGGAGAGCGAAGGTCTGATAAATCGAAGGAGTCAGTCGAGGCCTCAGCACCTGAAGCGGGTGAGGAAACAGCACCGGCAATAGGTACAGAGGTATGAGGAATGTCTGAAGAGTGGTCCAAAGACGAGGCGGGGTCAGAACGGGGTGCGGTATCAAGAAGGGGCCCGGGGGTACCAGGTTCATGGACTAGGGCTGCCATGGTTAGGTTACTTCTTTCTTTTTGTTTTTAAGAAAAAAAAAGAAAGAAGAAAAGAAAATAAAAATAAAAAAAAGAAAAAAAAAAGGGGGGACCGGGGAGGGATAGTTCCTAGGAGGAATGAAAGGGCCAGAAATCTCCCTCCGCGCCCAGAGGACTCGACAACCGCTAGTAGCGCAGATGCAGCATGGAAACCCGTGCCATACCCTACCCTTCATGCCAGTAAACCAGCAATCCGGGATAGCAACCTCACATCTGCCGAGCTACCTCGGTGGACAAAGAGAGGGCGGCCGGATTATCCGCCACAAAGCATACCTCCTTCAGCCACCACCCCCGGAATCCGAAAGGTGGCTTCCAGAGATACACCGCTCGCCCAAAAGACACCCAAAGCTACTCCGGGATACCGGAGAGGGATCGGGACATCCCTAGGCAATCCAGATTCCACGGCAAACTACGCCACCGCCAAGAACCTCAACGGAATGGGATGGACCCGGTGTCCTTTCCCCTACCTAGAACTAGCGCGCCCTGTGGGAGAAATCACGAAGGCTAAAAAGAGGAAGGGCAAAAGGGAGGGGTGAGGAGGAGGAGGAGGAATGGAAAAAGGGGAGGATGGGAGGATGGGATAGGGGAGGGGAGAATGGGGGGTAATTAGGTTCGTCTGAGGAAGAAGACCGACAGGGCTAATTCCTCAGACCAAGAGCCTCTTTTCACCACGCCAAGGAGCCCCCCTTGAAGAGGAAGGAATGGCATAGACATCTGTACTATCAGGCTTTAGCCAGGTTTCAGTTAGTGTAATGATGGACATATTGGCATGTAAGGAATTTAGTAATGCTATGAGGTCATCGTAATGCTTGCTTAAAGATCTGATATTGTAGTTAAAGATAGTTATGTTGTTGTTGGCACTGAGAAGTGCCTTTGATTGTTCTGCAGTGTAGTAATTACAGTAACTGTTTGATTCATTTAAGTCATTAAATAAGAGGTTGGTATCAGGATCAATGCTTGTAATCATAAGATTTGTAGTGAATCTATAGTTAGAATTAAGTATAAAACAAAGTAAATAGTCTTAAGCTAAAAAATAGCACCTAAATTATTTAACAAATGTAAAATAATGAGCTAAGGTAGTTTTTTTTTTTTTTTTTTTTTTTTTTAAGCTAAAATAAAGGAGACAATATAAAAGGGACTAATACAAATAAAGTGATGATCAAATAATGGAGCTTGGGAATATGATAGTAGGTAGTACTATAAAGGTAATTCTTTAAAGTTAGAATTATAGTATAAAATTATAATATAAAAGGGACTAATATAAGTTGTGGTGAACAATAAAGTGGTAATCAAATAGATGAGCTTTGGAATATAATGGCAAAATTGTGAACTTATTCTACTTTACTGTCAAAGAATTAGCTGCCTAAATGAAAACAAAATTCACCACCTGAGTTAGTGTTGTAATTCTCATCACGATCTTCAGCATAAGCCAGGTTATCAAGGCTGCATTCACCTAAAACAGCAAACATAAGCATATATGACAGCACAAACTTTGGCATTCTATCCAATACCTTTACATTCCTCATTTTTTTACCCAGTAATTTTAATACTTATCAGCATAAATCAGTAGTCATTTCATTTGAATTCCTTTATGTGGTAGTAAAAAATTAGGAATCTGGTGGCAATCAAGACATAAAAAACTGTTATCAAGATGCAAATATCAAGAGAACAAGCAAGTTATGGCACTATAAAAGCTGAAGGGTATATCATTCAAAAGATGGAACAACTCTCAATTTTACATACAGTATTTCAACTGCAGGAGTAAGAAAAAAGCACGACACATATTCCACATATTATACAAGGACATCATATATTTTGCAATTTACGTATGCTGTCCAAAATCAGGCATAATTAGTAATGAAAATTTACAGCAAATCACACAACGCATTAATTCTTTACCAGACAATGAACAAGAAACATGTTAATCAGGTCAACCATCTAAGACATTTTACAGTTCTCTCAATTAAAATAAGATCTGCAGCAAATTCATCAGAAACAGATTAATTTATAAATCACAAAGAATGGAAGATATGAATGGTCTACTTACCATTTGAACCAATATAGTGAACATTGTGAACTGCAAGAACTGGCAAAGCTGAGATAGTTTCCTCCAACATCAATAGTGCTCTAAGACATTCTTTAAAAGTTGGTCGGTTCTCAGGACTGTAGCTCCAACATCGCTCCATCAGTTTATGGCTAAAAAGAAAAGTTGAAGCTTCTATCTACTTATCTGCTGCATTTTTATTTTATCTTGCAACTTGAGCATGTGTAAAAATGGTATATAATACCGACATGTGTCTTAATATCATGCTGACACTTACATAAAACTTTACCTGAGAACATTTGTTTAAGTTCATAAATAAGGTTAGCATTGTCCTAACAAGACAATGTGATAACTTTTAAATTAGTTTGGAGAAAATACAATGTCCAATAACATTTAAGGCAAGAAATGCAATAGATAATAGATCTTTACAAAAAATACCTATGAAAAATATTTTAACAAGATTTTATACAATCCAAATACATCCCAGACATTTATATTAAATGTATTGTTTTCAAAATACAGTACATTATATTAATGAATGATTCACAAAAAATTATTTATTAACATGTATCATGTTAATAAATCATTTGCAATTAAACTATAATATATATTTTGGAGTATTGAAAAACTTACAGTTCCTCTGGGCAATTGGGAGGACGATTAAGGCGACCTCCGCCCTTGACATAATGTAGCACTTCAAGGTTGGTGCGTGCAGGGTATGGCTGCAGTCCAAGAGTCAAGATCTCCCACAACAGCACTCCAAATGCCCAAACATCAGAGTGACTTGTGAACACTCCATCAACCAGAGATTCTGGAGACAGCCACCTCAATGGTAACAGCCCCTCTCCCTATACAAAAAAGATTTTGCTAAATAAGAGATGCCTGGTTGACCAGACAAGCCTAGCCTAAGGCTGGGTTCTGGGAATAGAAAAACTCACAGAACTCATCAAAAGTAAAGACAATGTATGTTTTTTTCAGTACTGTACAGATGACAATAACTTATTATATAAAAAATAAAAAGCTTCATTAATTTTAGGGGTATTTTAATAAGTTTAAAGTTTTTTCACTCGTGAATTTCACAAGCCTACTCTTATAAATATGGCATTAAGTTATAAATAAAATGATCTATAGATATACAGTACCTCTTCTCTATAGTAATCATTTTTGTATATATCTCTGGCTAGCCCAAAATCACCAATTTTTACTATACGAGATTCAGGGTCAGTTGTTGAGACAAGACAATTCCTTGCAGCCAAGTCACGGTGGACATAGTGCATTTCTTCCAAATACACACAGCCTTTAGCCACATCTAGACACATGGCCACAAAGTCTGCTAATGTCAAGCTACACTCAACCTAAAAAATGAATAGAATTGATTTAAAAGGTGGATACAATAATGCTCACTGTTACATACACTGTGTCTGCAGTTTGGAGGGAAATATGAGCTGTAATATCAATATGCCTCTGGCAGGAGAATGGTGGAGTGAGTGATAGTGACAGTGTTTCTTCTTTGTTGAGTCACTCTACTTCTGTGGGAGACAGCTCAGACTTCAGACACTAAGGTGCCATCCAATATGAATGTGACTAAACATTTGACTCTGCAATATGAATATGACTTAACATTTTCTATAAATTTCAAACTTATGTATAAAATAATAATAATAAACTTCAAACTTACTCCACGACTTGTACGAAGATAGGACAGAAGATCGCCACCTTCCATCAGTTCAAGGATAAGGAATAAAGGATCATGGTCTGTACATACAGCCAGAAGACGCAAGATATGTTCATGCTGGAAGTGACTCATCAACTGAGCCTCCTTCAGGAACTCAGCTTTTTTTGTCTCTGTTGCTCCTTTACGGAGAGTCTGACAAGCATCAAAGGCACTCATTGTTTACAGAGTAATACAAAATTAAATTCTTAAAATGTTGAAAATGCATATATTTTTTCAGTTTCAATATACGTAGTGGCTAAAAAATATACAGCCTCTCCTCACTCAACAACAAAGTTCCATTCCTAAGACCATGTTGGTAAACAAATTTGTCGCTAAATGAGGAGCATGCTTGTGAACCATATTTGATAGTGTTTTAATGTCACCTTTGCACCATTTATAACATTTCTGGTATATTTTAAATGTTTATACAGTAGTGTACTATATATTGCATTAAACAAAATAGAAATCAGCTCTAATAAACATTATTTATGTATGCATACAGGTCAGAGAGCCTGTTGTAAGTCTGGGCCGTCGGTAAAAGAGTACGTCGCTAAGTGAAGAGAGGCTGTACTCATATTTGCCAATCATATAAAATGTATACTCATGTATACATGAAAAATAAGAATAATGGATACACATACCTTAATTGCCACCTTTGTGACCTCAGGTAAACATGGCAGTCCACAGGCTGTCCCTTCAAATACTTCACCAAACGTTCCACAACCCAGAAACTTGGTGAGGTTGATACAATGCCGTGACACATGGGGCAGATCCAGGTCATCGCCTGAAATTACATTTTGAAAAAATACTTGAGCTTTTTTTTTTTTTGTAGATATACAGCTGGATGTTTAATAAGACAGCAATAAATACTTCTCACAGATAAAGAAAAGGATTTATCAAATTATCTTTTTAATGAAGATTCAAGGGTACAATACTGTTGCCTTTTTATCAGACTGAGATGTACTGTTATTCACTGTGCAGCTAAAAGCTGTGTATGTAAGATATTATAAATATAGAATACTGTAATAAGCAAAATATGTTTTTATTTTTCACCTACCTGGGAAAGTGTGAAGGTTATAGAGAACATTATTTTCTGTAACAAAGTTATTATTTATTGGAAACTGTCGAAGAGTTGCTAATTCTACTTCACGAGATTGTGGGTGGTGGTGGTGGTGGTGGTGGTGAGAATCATTCAGAGAAGCTGCTTTAACTTTCCAACTCCTCCTCTCTGCTCGTTTCATACCTAAAGAAAACATGATCCGAGAATGCTATTAATTTTTACGCCAAATTCAAATGAGAAACTAAATTTACAAAACTGCTTGTGACTGCTACAAGAATTCGAGCTATATTCTTTGCATTAGTGAATACTACTGTGAAAATTAGACACTAAAATATTAGAACAGTAACAATGGTATAATAATGTGAATAATAAAATGGTAGAAAATACCGACAGGTTGTTAGGTAAGACACACATGCAACAGTTAGGTATCTTTATTTCGAAATGCTTCACCTACATAGTGGGCTTCTTCAGTCGAGTATAGAAAAGTTGATAGAAGCACAAGAAAAGTGAAGACTGATTACATCGTCTTCACGTCTCTTGTGCTTCTATCAGCTTTTCTGTACTCGACTGAAGAAGCCTACTGTGTAGGCAAAACGTTTTAAAATAAAGATACCTAACTGTTGCATGTGTGTCTTACCTAACAATGGTATAATAATGTACGTTCATCCATTTCATAACCTGCCAAAACACCTCCAAACTTACAATTATTTATTACAAAATAAAAATTAATATGAAGCAATATAACTCATTTTAGGTATTTTAGAGCCAGGAAGGAAAAAAAACTGGCAGGAAATGGCAGAAATCGTACACCAAATCCAGTCATTCCTGGAGTGGAACCACAGTCGATGGCCTCCACTCCAAACCAACAGATACAGATACTAATTCCGGAAAAAAAATCCCCCCCCCAGTACCAACAATAATACCACCAGTCCGATAACATTCTTCTTTTCAAATATACAGGGTCCAAAGCCAGCAACAAACAACAAAATACCTTTCATCCGTGGACTGCTTGCAGAGGCAAAGGCAATGTTCGCGGCTTTCACTGAGACCCACATAAAGGATCACTTGGACAACGAAATATGGATCCCAGGTTACAACCTATACAGATGTGACAGAGTGAACAGGCAAAAGGGGGGGGGTTGGCCTGTACATTGCAGAGTCACTTGTTTGCACAGAACTGCTAAATGCCTCAAATGATGTAGTGGAAGTTTTAGCAGTAAAGTCGAGAACCAAAACCTAGTCATTGTGATAGTCTACAAGCCTCCGGATGCAACATCCCAGCAATTCCAGGAACAGCTGTTAAAAATTGACCACTGTCTGGAAAACCTTCCAGCTCCTGCACCCAACATCTTGCTCCTGGGGGATTTCAACTTAAGGCACCTAAAATGGAGGAATATAGCAAATAATATTGTTGCAGTAATAACACCAGGAGGCAGCTCTGATGAAAACTCACACTCACGTGAGCTTTTAAATCTCTGCACAAAATTCAATTTAAACCAGCAAATAATAGAGCCTACTAGACTGGAGAATACACTAGACCTCATCTTCACTAACAATGATGATCTGATAAGAAATATCACCATATCAAAAACAATATACTCAGATCACAACATAATTGAGGTTCAGTCATGTATGCGCGGAGCCCCAGACCGACATAATGAGATTAGTCACGAGGGAGCATTCACCAAATTCAACTTCAATAACAAAAACATAAAGTGGGACCAAGTAAACCAAGTCCTAACGATATAAGCTGGGAAGATATACTAAGCAACACAGACCCCAACTTATGCCTAGAACAGATTAACTCGGTGGCACTCGATGTATGCACAAGGCTTATTCCTCTAAGAAAAAGGAGGAGTAGATGTAAAACAGAAAGAGACAGGCGCTCCCTTTACAGGCGACGGAAAAGAATAACAGAGCGGCTAAAAGAGGTCAATATATCTGAAATGCGTAGGGAGACACTGGTCAGAGAAATAGCAAGCATCGAACTTAAGCTAAAAGAATCCTTTAGGAGTCAGGAATCGCGGGAAGAACTAAAAGCCATAAATGAAATCGAAAGAAACCCAAAGTATTTCTTCTCCTATGCCAAATCAAAATCGAGAACAACGTCCAGTATTGGGCCCCTACTTAAACAAGATGGGTCCTACACAGATGACAGCAAGGAAATGAGTGAGCTACTCAAGTCCCAATATGACTCAGTTTTTAGCAAGCCGCTAACCAGACTGAGAGTCGAAGATCAAAATGAATTTTTTATGAGAGAGCCACAAAATTTGATTAACACAAGCCTATCCGATGTTATCCTGACGCCAAATGACTTCGAACAGGCGATAAATGACATGCCCATGCACTCTGCCCCAGGGCCAGACACTTGGAACTCTGTGTTCATCAAGAACTGCAAGAAGCCCCTATCACGAGCCTTTTCCATCCTATGGAGAGGGAGCATGGACACGGGGGTCGTCCCACAGTTGCTAAAAACAACAGACATAGCCCCACTCCACAAAGGGGGCAGTAAAGCAACAGCAAAGAACTACAGACCAATAGCACTAACATCCCATATCATAAAAATCTTTGAAAGGGTCCTAAGAAGCAAGATCACCACGCATCTGAAACCCATCATTTTACACAACCCAGGGCAACATGGGTTTAGAACAGGTCGCTCCTGTCTGTCTCAACTATTGGACCACTACGACAAGGTCCTAAATGCACTAGAAGACAAAAAGAATGCAGATGTAATATATACAGACTTTGCAAAAGCCTTCGACAAGTGTGACCATGGTGTAATAGCGCACAAAATGCGTGCTAAAGGAATAACAGGAAAAGTCGGTCGATGGATTATAATTTCCTCACTAACAGAACACAGAGAGTAGTCGTCAACAGAGTAAAGTCCGAGGCAGCTACGGTGAAAAGCTCTGTTCCAAAAGGCACAGTACTCGCTCCCATCTTGTTCCTCATCCTTATATCCGACATAGACAAGGATGTCAGCCACAGCACCGTGTCTTCCTTTGCAGATGACACCCGAATCTGCATGACAGTGTCTTCCATTGCAGACACTGCAAAGCTCCAGGCAGACATCAACCAAATCTTTCAGTGGGCTGCAGAAAACAATATGAAGTTCAACGATGAGAAATTTCAATTACTCAGATATGGTAAACATGAGGAAATTAAATCTTCATCAGAGTACAAAACAAATTCTGGCCACAAAATAGAGCGAAACACCAACGTCAAAGACCTGGGAGTGATCATGTCGGAGGATCTCACCTTCAAGGACCATAACATTGTATCAATCGCATCTGCTCGAAAAATGACAGGATGGATAATGAGAACCTTCAAAACTAGGGAGGCCAAGCCCATGATGACACTCTTCAGGTCACTTGTTCTATCTAGGCTGGAATATTGCTGCACACTAACAGCACCTTTCAAGGCAGGTGAAATTGCCGACCTAGAAAATGTACAGAGAACTTTCACGGCGCGCATAACGGAGATAAAACACCTCAATTATTGGGAGCGCTTGAGGTTCCTAAACCTGTATTCCCTGGAACGCAGGAGGGAGTGATACATGATTATATACACCTGGAAAATCCTAGAGGGACTAGTACCGAACTTGCACACGAAAATCACTCACTACAAAGCAAAAGACTTGGCAGACGATGCACCATCCCCCCAATGAAAAAGCAGGGGTGTCACTAGCACGTTAAGAGACCATACAATAAGTGTCAGGGGCCCGAGACTGTTCAACTGCCTCCCAGCACACATAAGGGGGATTACCAACAGACCCCTGGCAGTCTTCAAGCTGGCACTGGACAAGCACCTAAAGTCAGTTCCGGATCAGCCGGGCTGTGGCTCGTACGTTGGTTTGCGTGCAGCCAGCAGCAACAGCCTGGTTGATCAGGCTCTGATCCACCAGGAGGCCTGGTCTCAGACCGGGCCGCGGGGGCGTTGACCCCCGGAACTCTCTCCAGGTAAACTCCAGGTATCATATATATAAGAAGCCCTTTGGCACATAATTTTTAGCAAAAAAAAAAAAAAAAAAAAAGTTAGGATGGTTAGAAAGACTTGTTAAATGTTTAAATATACACTGACCATATAGGTCACTTAATACTTACAGCTATCAAAAAATATTTACAAAATGATAAATGCACTGAGCATAAATGCTCGACACAAATAAATACAGTGGACCCTCAGTTAACACCTGCAGTGGATAACGCCAAAATCAGATAACGCCTCGCTTTGGTGTAAAAAAATTGGCTCGGATAACACCTAAAAACTCGATTAGGAGCTTTTGTCCTGAACATGTTGGCATAGCGCCCTTAGCGGGGCCGGCCACTCACTCTGTGTACGTACCAACCAGTGTGCCATTATTTACAAAAGTGAAAATGAAAATCCACGCATTAGATGCTTAAAATTTTTATTATTAAATCATTGATCTTTGGTGCCTTGATACTTGCTAAAAAAACCGTGTCAATGGTGATGCAAAAAATCTGACCATACATGGACTTCCATCTAACACCGCAGGGACAGGCGAATTCGATTCCCCTTTGGGTAAAAAATTCCGAACACGTAAATCCTTAGACTATTTCCGTCTCACCTAGTCGCAAAGCTTACTGGGTGTCAGTCCGACTTGTGTGGGTCCACCTGGGGCACAATTAAGGACCCAAGGAAAGTTGACAGTCCTCGATGCCACTGACTTTCTGTATCCTGGTGGCATAACCATACGGTTTTATATTCCATCGAATTTTGGTCTTACTCTTAACCAAGGGCCCCAAGAAGCTTCTAGTGCCAGCCCTATGGTTAAGAATGTGAGAAACACAATAATTTAAAAAAAGTTTGTAGAAAAATACGAAAGGGGTGGTGGAAGAGGGTGGTAGTGGTTATGATGGTGGTAGTGGTGGTGGTAGAGGGTGGTAGCAACTGTGATGGTGGTAGAGTTTGGTAGCGATTGTGATGGTGGTAGAGGGTGGTAGTGATGATGGTAGAGGGTTGCTGTGATGATGGTAGAGGATGGTAGCAATTGTGATGGTGGTAGAGGGTGGTAGTGGTTGTGATGGTGGTATGGTTTGATAAGGCATGGAGAGGCTGCCAGTTCTGACAAAAAAGCGGCTGAAAAATATGTGCAGGACTTTAAGGGGTACAGAGAGGCTGAAAAATTAAAACCCCAAGTGTTCAATTGTGACGAAAAAGGATTGTTTAGGAAGAAAATGCCAAACAGGACCTACATTACTCAAGAGGAAAAGATACTCCCAGGACACAAGCCAGAAAAGGACTTATTACCTGAAGTCCTTATGGAAGGGGATTCCCCTTCCAAACAATAGAACATCTTCATCCTCTGCTCTTCTCCCATTTCATCACTCATCAACAAGTCCACAATAAAGGTACGTGTGACATTATTATTGTTTCATTCTTCATGTATCATTGTTTTCTGTGTAGGGAAATGTATATTTCATGTAAAATAATTATTTTGTTTAATACTTTTGGGTGTCTGGAACGGATTAATTGGATTTCCATTTTTTCTTATGGGGAAAATTAATTCGGTTAAAGGCTAAATCGATTAAAGCCTAGCTCTCTGGAATGGATTAAAGGCATTAACTGAGGGTCCACTGTACTACTATACAAAGTTGAAAAATTGAGCATCACTTAAAAACTTTACTAGGCTGAGGAGGGGTTGGTGAAGTGGTTTGGTCATGTAGAGGTTGGAGAGGGATAGGTTGACTAAGAGGTTAATAAATCTGGGGGAGGGAGGGGGTATGAGAGGCTATGAGCTTTAGGGGCTTCAGCATTCAGCAGACTTGTGAGAGCATTTTAAACGGAAGTGAATAGAGACAAGTGGTTTTTCATAGATGTGCTGTTGGAGTGTGAGCAAGGTAACTCTGATGAAGGGATTCAGAGAAACTGGTTAGTTGGACTTGAGTCCTGGAGGTGGGAGAGGCAGTGTCTGCACTCAGAAGGGGTGGGGATGCTTCATTTGGAGGGTAATCTGAATTGTGACTTAAGCATGCTTCTGGTAAGACAGTCTCTGAATGACTGACAGTCACCGTACCTTGGTGGGAGACAACTGTTGTGAAAAAAAAAATTAATAACAGTACACTATACTGTATTTACCATATATAAGACTTGTAAAAAACACTCCAAAAAAAATCAGAGATGTTGGTATAGTTGATGCAAGAATTGTAGGGAGATCAGTCTGTGTCAGCATGGTTGCCCCAACTACTGTGTCAATCACATTGACTTCTCCCCAAGGGCCAGCTCCAAGTTCATTTATGGCACGGACTCGAAAGATGTAACTGGATTCTGCTTCTAATCCTTTGATAAGCCAATAATTATCTGTAAAAAATTAGTATCTATTAATTACTGTCCTATGGATTTTATAAATTAATATACAACTCCACAGAGCAGTAACATAAATTAATACACATGTAAGATCATCTACTTAAAATGCCAAATTCTAATACAGTAGGATTATAGAAAATTTATACAAAAATAACTCGTGCACTTTACCCGATCCATTATATATGGTAGCATAGGTAATATTGTTGTCAAAGTCATTGGAATTATAGAGGGAAGCTTGCAGGGTATATGCAATAACTGGAGCACCATTTGGTTTTGCCTCACTCCACCAGAGCCTCAAGCCCCCTGCCAGGCAAGACCCTGCCCACCTGCTGCCGCATCACTTGTCCTGGTTCACCTGGAATCTCAGCTACACACCAAATACTTATTGTTAACTTACTTCTGGTTAACTAATTTTTAACTTTGAAAAATCTTATTAATTTGAAACATTCATCAGACAACAAACTTTCATAAGTGTGCATGAACTGATTAAATTTTATCAAAATCAAAATGAATTTCTGCAATAAATATGTATATATGGAGCAATTGTTATTATATTCACAAAAGTAAACAAAAATATAGTGCCAATGAAAGAACTCACCCAATGTGGAAAAATTAAAGAGAGGTTGTTCAGGCCAGTATAACTGTAGTAAGTATTATTGTATATAACCTGAACTCTAAATATGTATGAGGTGGCAGGTGCCAGATGAATGATGTTGGCAAAATAGGTTTGTCCAGCAGTTGTTTGCTCCATGGTGAGATTTTCCCAGATACTGTCACCAAAGGCTGTATACTGAAACTGATATAAAAATAATGAGAATGATTAGTATTTATTAAGTGTAATGTATGTGAAATAACTTGAGTTAGCACTCCCTAACGTGATGGCAGAAAGTCAGTGATGAGTGATTGAATAAAATTAAAAAGTTACATTGCTAGCTACGTATGTTAAAGTGACAATATATACAGAAGAATGGTCAAAAGATATATAGCATACTGTCCCATTATCCAAAAAGGACACGCCAAAGACAATGTATGCGTGCTCATAGAAGTGAATTCAGGGGGTATTAATTTTATATTTAAATAAGAATGAGACTTAAGTGCTCCACAAAATAAACTTCTCTCTGAAGCATTTTATTCTATCACTGAAAGAAATGTACATTACAGAATGAAGCTGAAATCCAGTTAATAAAATAAGCTGAAAGGTTTATCATCATACTTCAAAAATTTAGTAATTGGCAATGTGCTTACAGCATGTCGCAAAACAGATCTGTCTGATGGTGCCTTCCAGTTAATGAAAAGTGTGCGTGCGGTTGCATTTTTCAATCTGATGTGTGGTAGTTCAGGAAGGGTGATGACAGTCACTCGTGGACTGTTTGTATGCACAAGTCTATCTTGGGAATAGACTCTTACCCAGACCTAAGTTGCAAGAATACACAATGCAATGGATGAATTTTAAGTATATAAACACTTCTAGTTTATACTGTATTAAAATATTAAATTTTAATTCAATATAGTGCCATAGGTATATAAAGCAAAAATACATTCAAGAAATAGTTTTAAAGAAGATTCTAATACCCTTAATTTTCATAGTTTTATGTTCTAAATTGAATATTACTGTAATAAAATACTTAAACTAATAAATATTAAAAGACATGTGCATTGAGAGTTTTAATCATAAAACTTTACTGCTACACTCATAATAAATTCTTACTATTTCCTATTTTTTTCATAATCTTAAGACTGAGTACAGAAAACTGTACTAAACTTTCATTAAGAACAAATAATGGATTACTCAATGGAAAATAAAAAAAAGTGTAGGACCTCATATTTAGTGTTAGGAAGCAGTCTGTTAATTCTGACTGATATTTCCTGCATGCTGTTAACTGTGGGATGAATGGGGCCAAGGTTGGTGTCTGCTCTTTGCCAATAAACTTCGCACATCTGTCCTTCACTGACGTTAAAAGTCACTTTAATTTCTTCTGGAGACAGTGCTTCAGCTGTTACTTGTCTACACCCTCTGGTGCTGCAAGTTAAACATTTAAAATATAATCTGCATATCAGAATAATAAAATAAAAATAAATATTGGAAGGAAAATAAAAAGAAAACAAATAATATTTTGATTTGTGCATAAAAATATACTTGAATTTTAAGTTTCTTGTAAATATATGTGCTTGCACACTACAGGAGGGATTTGGGATATTTATTGTTTAGAGTGGTATCTAAACTGTCGTATCTGTGTGCCTCTGGCAAGAGAGTGATAGTGTGAATGATGGCGAAAGTTTTCTTTTTTGGGTTACCCTGCCTCAGTAAGAAACAGCGAGTGTGTTAATAAAAAAATATACGAGCATGTTTGCTAGGAGTGAGTGGAGGCAAATGGTTTTTGGGACCTGACAAGCTGTTGGAATGTGAGCAGGGCAATATTTCGTGAGGGAATTCAGGGAAACTGATTAGCTGGATTCAAGACCTGGAAGTGGGAAGTACAATGCCTGCACTTTAAGCCAAAGCCAGTCCAGGAGGGAAGCTGTTCACAGGTAGGTCGCCAGTTGTCAAGAGAGAAAGAGGCATGGCCGGGTATGTCTAATTTGAGGACCTGCCTCTGGTGGGGACTTAGGGAACTAGGCCCACAACAACTTGCTCCAAGGGATTATGAGAATTACCAAGTAGGTTTACTGTCTACATTTTAGGAGAGGTTTGGGATATCGACAGTTTGGAGGGACTTCTAAACTGTTGTATCTGAGCACCTCTGCAAAGCCAGTGATTATGTATGAGTGAGGTGAAAGTGTTGAATGATGATTTTTTTTTTATATTTTATTTAAAACCAATACAGTTTAACATAAAAATAAAGAAACAGTATGGAACCTAATCAAATTAACTGACAAACGGATTGTACCTACATGCTCGCAAGATGTTACAACAACAACTTACATCAAGAACATAACTAAAAACAAAATTACATGTCACAGGTTCATGAATTGACATACAAAACCTTGCATATATATAAATTGTACATATAAATGACATCTGACAAAGGTTCAATACACTTGAACATAAAATATACAAAGAAGTTATATCAGTTAAATCCCATCCTTCACATTAATCTAAAAACCAAAACCTAACATCATAATCTAACTAGAAAATCTACATACTTATCCCTAACAATACAGCCGAACATATCCCAACATACAAATAAACAGACAAAGAATACAGCTTAGAACACAATAACTGAAGCTCTATACTGTTACAATAAACCCATATACAAATTTCAGACACAAATGGACTACGTCACTAAACTGTCTAGATATGTCTGTATACCATACAGACTAAAACTTAACATCAAGAACTTGCATGAACACCAAACCGGTATCAGGGTACAGACCATAATTATAAACTTTAAAAAGAATCAATCATGCTTTATATAAATTATTACATAACGTCTGACCCATGACAAAGGCTCAATACAATAGAAAGGGATATTTATATATATACACATACACACCCACACCCACATCCACACAAAACACCCACACATACACAAAAATTTGCAACAAAATCACATTAATCAGATGCACTGTATGCACAATGCCAAACAGTATATAAGTATATCTCATCGTGCAAAAACCCAGCACGTAACATAAATACAAACTAAAACACACTTCATGTCGCAAAGAACTTATTTCTCCAAAATCATGTTATTACAAGACTGATACAACATCATAATTATACATAAAAAATCTACTATATTATACCTACATTCTGAAAAGTGTTATATCTACCATAACGAGACCTTGATCTCTACATCCACACTTGGATGCCATAAAGTCCCAATGAAAACCAGGAAACCATTCCAAACCCACATTCACAACACTCTCACGACCCCCCCCCAGGGAGGCGAGCCCGCTGTTGCCCCCTGACTCCCTCCAACCTATGAAAACCCCTTCACTCACTCATTTCCAATCACAGATTTATGAGAATCCCTAACGTTAGCATTCTATACCCCTCTGAGAAAGCCTGATCCCACCTCCTCCCATACAAATCTCTGTTTACGACACCTCGTACGGTAGAACGTTACCGCAAGAACCTTTCTTCTCTCCTCACTATCCCCTCTCCCCCTCATCACCCACGACATATATATATAATCTACCATGATATAATCTAAAGCTCTTATGACACCCTCATCTAACCCACCCATATCTAGACTTAGAGCACGCAAAACCGACACCCCACGGCCCCCCACCCTCTGTCCCCAACCTACTTAACCAGCACCTGACCTCCTCTAGCCCTTCACAAAAGTAAACTACATGGAACGCAGTTCTCATCCCCTCCACAGATACCACACCCCCCACCCTCTACAACCTGTCTGTTTCGTAATATCTCACCAGACGGAAGGACCCCATGCAGAAAACGAAACATCACCTCACGCGCCCGAGGTTTTAACTTCAATTTACTAAATCTAAACCAAATACTCTTCCACGCATACATGGGGAACAAACCCTAACTGGGACAACGCACCTACCTACAATAACCTACACAAAAACCCTTATACGAACCTTTCTCAGTTCCCTAACCAACATCACAGCCTCAAAACTATTTCACATTCCCTCAACTCCATTCCTCGATACCACATACCCAGCCTGTCGTGTATCCTTCCCAAACGCCCCGCGTTCACACCCTCACGCAACACTTCCCATTTAATAAAACACATTTAGCCCTCCGTCACAAATCCAACAACCCCAACCCACCCTGACTTACAGGTAACATTACAACCTCCCTCCTTAACCAATCACAACGTGAACCCCATAAAATTTGTACACCCGTCTTAGTATCCCCGCAATTGCTGTCCCTGTAATTGGGAACACAGCTGCAACATACCAAACCTTACTATAAAATAGAATGTTCACGACTATCACTCGCTGTATCAGAGTTAGGTGCTGGGGTCTCAGAACACCTAGCCGCCCATGATCCTTTCCAATAACCTATCTGAATTTTCCTCCTGCGCCGCAACCATGTCATCCCTATAAATAATACCACAAATCTTTAAAGACACCGCCCATTCTTTAACAACATTACATCTCCCCCCACACCCCCACCCAAGAACCCAACCCCATGCACCTTGACTTCGCACTATTTACCTGCATACCCGTGGCACTTCCAAATAATTGCACCACCTCGTCCAACACTCCCATTGACATCCCTGCACGAATGAGAACAGTGGTGTCGTCAACATATCCAATTAACCCCGGCCAGGCCCTCCCACCCCCCACACTTCCCTCACATGGCGTACATAAGCTACGGTCAACCATTCTATAAAAGGGGTCCTGGAAACATGCAAACAATATTTGGGACATGGGGCGTCCCCGTCTAAGGCCCTTCCCATTGCAATTTCCCTCCCATACACCCATTAATCTGTATCCTCATTTTCGCCCCCTTGTACAACGTATTTACCACTCGACTATTTCCTCCCCCAAAACCCCTGTCTCCTAAGTATAACCTGCAAAGCCCCCCTTTCCACTCTATCATATGCTCCCTGCCAGTCTAGAGCCAACAAAGCTGCCCCTCCACCCCACCCTTATCTTCCACAAAACTTCTCAGTATCCCATGTCCTTAAATCATCGCCCTTTCCCCGGCAACCCGAACTGAGATTTTGACACCACCCTCTCCACTACACATTTGAACCTATTACCTAAAATTTTTGCAAACACCTTATAGTCTGCACACATCAGTGATATGGCTCGGTACTCCCGAAGGGTGGGCTGCCCCTTGACCTTCGGGACCAACACTACAACTGCAGTTTCCTGCTTCTCCCCCAACTTACCCTTCTCCTTCATACTATTAAATAACCTAACTATAAATTCCTTTATCAACGCCCAATGTTGTAAATAAAATTCTACCGGGAGACCATCAATACCGGGAGCTTTCCCCTTCCTCATTCCCCTTAACGCATTCTCTATTTCCTCTGCCGTAATCGTCCCACCTAAAGCCTTTCGATCACTATTTCCTAAATTACATGTCACATACATACACACCTTGTCCAATGCCCCGTCACCCACCCCCCCACTGTTCCAGTACTTCTCGTACCAAGCCTCTGCATATGCACACATCCCCTTCGTGGTTCGTATCTCCTGCCCTACTCTATAATTCCCAACCATCTCCGTTACCTCTAAACATGTATAGCTGTCAGCGCCTGCCTTTGCTTTTGTTGCCGCAAAAACACATGCTGACGGCTTGTCGCCCCAAAGCACTTCCTCCACCCCTGCCTGCATCCTTACAGCTTGAAACCTTTCATTTTGCAACATCCTCAACCTCCCCTTTATTTCAGCTATTTCATCCATAGGAAAATTATTCCCACCCACCCCCCTCCCATAGCAACCTCTTAACCTATCCTCTAAATAGTTAGCCAGTCCATATTTTAAATTATTAATAACGTTTCCTTCTCTCACATAAAACTTTCTAATCCTTTCCTTTGCGACACTATCCCACCATGTCACAATGTCATCCACTCCCTGTTCTTCCACACTAAGCTCCTCCATAGGACTGAAAACCCTCCAACCCCTCCTCATCACCTAACACACTTATATTTAATTTCCAATAACTTCTATATATTTCCACGAGCGTCCCCACCCAACCTCCACCACCACTGCCCTATGATCTGACATTGTAGCCTCAACAGTACTGAAAGATTTCACGTCCACACCCTGAGAAAGGTACACTCTATCTAGTCTCGCAGAAAATCCACTCCTAACAAACGTATATTCAGTCTCCCACACCGCTCCCAAAGGCATCACGTAACCCAACATCCCTTTTAATAAATCCCTAAGAGCCACAGACATATATCCAGCCCCTCTTGGGTCCACATCAGCCACCCTGATTACACTATTCCAGTCCCCACCAACTATCGCCACCTCTGGCAGTGCACTTAAGAAAAAACACAAGATCCTCACACACAAAATCATTCTTTACCTTTATGTTATTTTCTGCGGCGCATACACACTCACAAAAGACACACGCTTACCCATCCACCACCCATCCACACAACACCCTCCCTCCCCCTCCTCCCTCGCTTCTCTGCAAAACAAACGGGCTCGTCTCCCTTATTAAAATTCCCACACCACCTTTTAGACGGGGAGATGGCAGGGTAACTACTCGAAATCCTGCCACCTCCAACACCCTAACCCTCTTTGAAATGTGTGCTCCTGCAGGAACACAACATCCACTCTAGATTTATTCAGAAAATTACGAAACCAATCTCTCTTCATACCGCTACATAACCCATTAACATTTACAGACATACACCTAAGGCCTATTAAAGTTTCCACCCCCTGCTTCCTCTCATCACTCTTTACAACTCCAGAGCTTGAATTTTTCGTTTGACACCTTCAGAGTGCTCTCTTTCCCTCCCCCCTTCTTCCCGGGGCCTCCCATCATGGCTACCACCACCTACACCACTACCTGCACACTTCACCTCAGTCTGTTTCCCAGGCCTTTGTGCAGGCGTAAGGACGTCATCAGAATCTGATGTAGCCGCCCTCTTTCTCGTGACAGTCATGTTACACATATCTTGGTCAGATGTTACCTCTCGATGAACCTCCACCTCCACCTGAGAATGGTTTAATGAGTCAATGGACGACTCCAAACCACCATCACGTCCCAAATTATCATGTCTCAGACTTTCTGGAAGCGACGATTCTCCAATGACACCACGCTCAGATGTAACGTCCCTCTCTGGTGGTGACAACGTCTTCAACACCTCCACCAATTCCTCCTCAATCTCAAGAATCTTCTCTTGTACTTGCTGCTCCTCCTTATCCACAGGAGACGACACCTGATCAGGCAGTTGGGGGCGGGACTCCAACTCACCGCCAGTCCTGTGTGCCCGATCCACTATCTCGCTCCACAAACACCACGCCCTCCATCCGATGTTTTTTCCTCACCTGCACCTTTGAAGCGGGGGCTGCGTCGTCCACCACAGGTCCCGGCACATGTCTTCGCTTGTCACAGTCGCCGCTATGTGATCATACTCACCACATAGGCGGCATGTACGTCGTTGTCCTGGGTACATTACCATTACCTGCGTCCTGAAATCTTGTAGGTACACATAGGATGGTATTTGGTGCCTCAAAGTCATTTTGAGGTTGAAAGAACCCTCTGGAAAAACCAGCATAGGCTCCTGCCGCCCACGTACCATGTTGAGCATAATGCACCGTCCCATACTTCTCAAAAACTTTCCTTATATCTGCCTCGTCCGCCTCAAAGGGAACGTTGCGTAAAATTGATCCACGTATAATACCGTGAAACATCTATCATTCTTACAGTGAAGCTGGTGTGACGTTAAGACTCACGTCCTGAAACCTGGTGATTAACGATTCATAAACCGTTGCTGATAGCAGTTTGACGAAAATTCGTTGTCCTCCGTTCAATGCTACACCATACAAGTCACTATCTTGTACTCCATAAGTCTCCCGTATGATCTTTGGCAATAAGACTTGCGCAGAACTGGTCGTTATCGTTCCTTTAAGTAGCTCGATGCCTACAGTATTTATCCTTCATCTCAGACTAACCGCCATCTTGACGATCACAGTGCACCTAAGTTGTTAGCCGAGGTGTGACAGCACCACTTCACACCACTGGGAGCCAGGTAACTGACAAGGGCGCTCGCCTACACACAGCAGAGGGGTGCAGAGCACTACCGCACACTACCGTGGTCAGGCAGCGAATGAATGATGATTAAAGTATTTTCTTTTTGGGGATTTCTTTCTTTTTGGGTTACCCTGCCTTGGTGGGAGATGGCCGACTTGTTGAAAAAAAAAATCACATAAGAGGCTACATATATAGAAATGAAGGATTCTTCTATTATGTTGCTGTAGCACTGTTTTGGCATTAATATTACCTTCTTTAGAGGCTCTATGGTGTCACCCAGGGCGGCCCGCCCCCCCTTCCCCCTCTCACGATGCCACTGGTTCTGACCTCACAAGTGATTTTTATATCAATGGCCAACAGACATACTATATACAAAGAAATTTAACAAATGCTCTCTCAGGAATAAAGTAATCCACTGTATAAAGCTTATTTTTTATCAACACATTCAGGTAAACATCAGCCATCTCTCACTGAGGCAGGGTGATCCAAACAAGAAACACTTTCACCTTCACATCACACACAATCATTGTCTTTGCAGAGGCACCCAGATATGACAGTTTAATGTCACTCCAAACAGCCAATATCCCAAGCCTTTCCTTTAGTATATATCTTTAGTATATATTACACAGTGCAAAAGTTAAAATCTTCATAAATAAAACATACCTTTGGTCTTTGTTTTAAATATGGCAGCAGGACCTGCTACAGATTTGATTCCCATTCTTTTGTTATAGATTGTCTCTATGGCACCACGAAACACATACTGAGTGTATGGCTGCAGTCCAGTTACTCTTATGACATTTCTCATACTCTTCTGAAATATGAATTATTCATTTAAGGTAATCTTGCACTTGTTAAATATGGATGCTATTCAGTATAATGAAAACAGAGATTTCCAGTGTGCAATGTTCATCTAAGAATATAATAATAATAATGATCATCATCATCTTAAAAATCCCAGGTGAATGTTTAAAAAACAATACTTGAACACCAAAAATTCAAGTCTCTGAATAAACAAAAATGAAGAGATAAACTTAACTTTCCATGTTATACATGCTAATTGACTCAATTTAAATTCACAATTTAAAATGTTTACAATGACTGAAAATATTCTTAATTATCAATACCATTTTAGGTAAATGTAAACAAGAATTAAATTAAATGATAAATGCTACAGAACTGGTGTTGTATCTATTAGTCATGAATTTGTTGGGGACACATTATTAAAGAGAGACTTCCATTGATTTTCCCATCACTTGGAACTCAAAATGTTTGGTATTTCAAGGTGAGGTGACACTAGGTTTTTCAAGGTTGGGGTCAACCCCAATGGGAGGTTCACGGGGCTCAAACACTCCAAAATTCCTCAGCCTCCCAAATAAAAAGCAATAATACACTCTTCCAGCCAGAGAGCCACCCTTAGGAAATTTAGTACAGGGCAAAACAAAGGAGCACAAGCTCACACACTAGCTTCAGGTGCTTGCTTATCTCTCATTAGTATACTGGTACTTATATTTTTATGAGATTTTCTTAATTTTCTTCTGGATTCTGACAGCTCTGAATCTTCAGTGGTCAATTGTAAAAAATTTATTATGTAAAATGGAAAAAAATATTAACTTTTACTTACAGTACAGTATCAGAAATTAACTGATGTGTTAAATATTCAAGCTAACCATATACTGGCAGTGAGTTATATCAGTGAAGCAGGAGACTGACTCATTGTGTGTTACAGGAGCATAATATCCAATGTAGGTAACAGGTGGTGGAATTATCAATCTGCAGTTATCTGTCTTAGCTTCTGGAGCTGTCAACTGTATGGCAATAACTGTTTCTGTTGTGCCAGCATTTGTGGGAGCTTCTGTGTAATTGGATGTGACTAAGCATTCTGCATCTGTGAGAATAAACAGGGTTTCTTTATTACCAGTAAGGTCAGAAACAAGAAACTAAATTTTAAGAACCTAATATTAATATTCTCCATGGGGAAGTGCAATGAAATTCTTCCTCTGTAAGCCATGCATGTCGTAAGAGGCGACTAAAATGCTGGGAGCAAGGGCTAGTAACCATTTCTCCTGCATATATTACTAAATGTAAAGGAGAAACTTTTGTTTTTCTTTGTGGGCCACCCCGCCTTGGTGGGATATGGCCGGTGTGTTGAAAGAAGAATATTAATATTCTCCATAAGGAAGTGGAAGAGAATTCTTCTTCATGCGTACTGTAAGCGGCAACTAAAATGCTGAGAGCAAGGGGATAGTAACCCCTTCTCCTGTATAAATTACCAAATTTAAAGGCCATCCATTTGTAATGTGTTAATTTTGCCTAAGATTATTAACCCATATAGTACAGTACTATTTTCCCCTAGATTTATCAAAAATCAGAAAATTGTAATTGTTCATATCTTGTTATGACAGTAGGGCATTAAACATTTACCCTTTTTGTTGTCTGTTTTTATATATGTATATTATCCATGTGTTTCTGGTAATCTCATTCATCAGATTATGACTGTGTGTGTTATGTACTTGTATTTTGCTCAGTGCTAGTTTTAAAGTGAATGTTATACTGTAGTTTACTAAAATAATTCTCTGCATACTAGTGAACAATCTTTTTATATATTATTAAATTTTTAAATTTCTCTCCTTATTCCACTGAGGGAGGGCGACCTTAAAAGAAAAAGGAAAGCTTTTCTTTTTAAGGATAGAACAGAAAACAAATAGCAAATCAAATTCTTAAATTGTTATAATAGCTTTTTTAAACTTTTTTTGCAACACGTTGGCTGTTTCCCGCTGAGGCAGGCGAGTCAAATAAACAGAAACACTTTCACCATCATTCACACATAATCACTGTCCTTGCAGAGGCACTTAGATATGACAGTTTAGGATGTCTCTCCCACCAAAGCAGGGTGACCTGAAGAAGAAATGCCTTCACCATTATTCACACTATCACTGTCTTGCCAGAGGTGTGAAGATACAACAGATTAGATGTCACTCTACACAGCAAATATCCCAAACCCCTCCTTCAGAGTGCAGGCACTGTACTTTCCACCTCCAGGACTTAAGTCCGGCTATCCCGTTTCCCTGGAGAGTTTACCCGGAGAGAGTTCCGGGGGTCAACCGCCCCCGCGGCCCGGGCTGTGACCAGACCTCCTGTGGATCCGAGCCTGTTCAACCAGGCTGTTACCGACTTTAGGTGCTTGTCCAGTGCCAGCTTGAAGACTGCAAGGGTCTGTTGGTAATCCCCCTTATGTGTGCTGGGAAGAGTTGAACAGTATCGGGCCCCTGACACTTATTGTATGGTCTCTTAACGTGCTAGTGACACCTTTCTTTTCATTGGGGGGATGTTGCATCGTCTGCCCAAATCTTTTGCTTTCGTAGCGAGTGATTTTCGTGTGCAAGTTCGGTACTAGCCCCCCTAGGATTTTCCAGGTGTGTATAATCATGTATCTCTCCCGCCTGTGTTCCGGGAATAAAAGGGTTCAGGAGCCCCAAGCGCTCCCAGTAATTGAGGTGTTTATCTCCGTTATGCGTGCCGTGAAGGTTTTCTGTACATTTTTCTAGGTCAGCAATTTTCACCTGCCTTGAAAGGTGCTGTTAGTGTGCAGCAAATTCCAGCCTAGATAGAACAAGTGACCTAAAAGAGTGTCATCATGGGTTGGGATCCCTAGTTTTGAAGGTTCTCTTATCATCCTGTCATTTTTCTAGCAGCTGCGATTGATACAATGTTAGGGTCCTTAAAGGTGAGATCCTCTGACATGATCACTCCCAGGTCTTTGACGTTGTGTTTCGCTCTATTTTGTGGCCAGAATTTGTTTTGTACTCTGATGAAGATTTAATTTCCTCGCGTTTACCATATCTGAGTAATTAAAAATTTCTCATCGTTGAACTTCATATTGTTTTCTGGAGCCCACTAAAAGATTTGGTTGATGTCTGCCTGGAGCCTTCACAAAATATTTTTTTAAATACACTGGCTGTCTCTCCCCAAAGGCAAGGTGACATTAGGCACATTAAAGTACCCAACTTAAGTGAGATATGAGATACAAAATTTGGATGCTTCAAGGGAGATACCAAGATGCTGGTGATAGGTTTGTGATAAAAAGAACTGGAGCTACCCTACTTTTCCCATGGATCAAGCTTGAATGCCTCCTTTTCCCCCCAGGCAATGTATGACCTCTCACACACTGATTCATGCACTCACTGCATCATCCTATTCTGCTCCATCCTCTTTAAATGCCCATACCACCTCAAGATGTAGTATTCAGTACATATTTCATAATAGGAATTTTCTGCTGAAATAACAAATAATAAAAATACGATTTTATGCCAAAAAAACAGCTGTGAATATACGTTATGTATGGTAAGTGTAGTCTATAATATTCAAAAAGTTTCAGGTTTTCCCTCATCATCTTTCCGAGGCAACAACTTTGGCCCCTCAACACATTCACACCCACTTTAAAAAAAAACCAAACATATTTTACCTGGCATAGGTTTTATAGCAAGATCAACTGGAATAAGAGATGTTGTATTGTGCAGTGGCTGAGAGTGCAAGTCCCTTTAGGTTTTTCTATACCCCTTTTAGGCAGCCACAGAAGAGTCTGATTACTTGCTATAAAACAGTATAGATAAGCATAATCAACTGCTTTTCAGTACAGGCACCTGAGGATAAATGCAGAAAAGTTATGAATTCAAGCACAATATTGAAACAATTCATGTAAACAGAAATTGGAAATGAAAACTGGAAATGACCCGTTGCAACTACACAATATCCAGGACAGACTAAATACGTGAAGCCCCTATCACAAACCTTTTCCATCCTATGGAGAGGGGGCATGGACACGGGGGTCGTCCCTCAGTTACTAAAAACAACAGACATAGCCCCACTCCACAAAGGGGGCAGTAAAGAACAGCAAAGAACTACAGACCAATAGCACTAAACATCCATATCATAAAAATCTTTGAAAGGGTCCTAAGAAGCAAGATCACCACCCATCTAGAAACCCCTCAGTTACACAACCCAGGGCCAACATGGGTTTAGAACAGGTCGCTCCTGTCTGTCTCAACTACTGGATCAAATACGACAAGGTCCTAAATGCACTAGAAGACAAAAAGAATGCAGATGTAATATATACAGACTTTGCAAAAGCCTTCGACAAGTGTGACCATGGCGTAATAGCGCACAAAATGCGCGCTAAAGGAATAACAGGAAAAGTCGGTCGATGGATCATAATTTCCTCACTAACAGAACACAGAGAGTAGTCGTCAACAGAGTAAAGTCCGGGCAGCTACGGTGGAAAAGCTCTGTTCCACAAGGCACAGTACTAGCTCCCATCTTGTTCCTCTTTCCCCATATCCGACATAGACAAGGAGTCAGCCACAGCAACCGTGTCTTCCTTTGCAGTGACCCGAATCTGCATGACAGTGTCTTCCATTGCAGACACTGCAAGGCTCCAGGCGGACATCAACCAAATCTTTCAGTGGGCTGCAGAAAACAATATGAAGTTCAACGATGAGAAATTTCAATTACTCAGATATGGTAAACATGAGGAAATTAAATCTTCATCAGAGTACAAAACAAATTCTGGCCACAAAATAGAGCGAAACACCAACGTCAAAGACCTGGGAGTGATTATGTCGGAGGATCTCACCTTCAAGGACCATAACATTGTATCAATCGCATCTGCTAGAAAAATGACAGGATGGATAATGAGAACCTTCAAAACTAGGGAGGCCAAGCCCATGATGACACTCTTCAGGTCACTTGTTCTATCTAGGCTGGAATATTGCTGCACTCTAACAGCACCTTTCAAGGCAGGTGAAATTGCCGACCTAGAAAATGTACAGAGAACTTTCACGGCACGCATAACGGAGATAAAACACCTCAATTACTGGGAGCGCTTGAGGTTTCTAAACCTGTATTCCCTGGAACGCAGGAGAGAGAGATACATGATTATATACACCTGGAAAATCCTAGAGGGACTAGTACCGAACTTGCACACGAAAATCACTCACTACGAAAGCAAAAGACTTGGCAATCGATGCAACATCCCCCAATGAAAAGCAGGGTGTCACTAGCACGTTAAGAGACCATACAATAAGTGTCAGGGGCCCGAGACTGTTCAACTGCCTCCCAGCACACATAAGGGGGATTACCAACAGACCCCTGGTAGTCTTCAAGCTGGCACTGGACAAGCACCTAAAGTCAGTTCCTGATCAGCCGGGCTGTGGCTCGTACGTTGGTTTGCGTGCAGCCAGCAGCAACAGCCTGGTTGATCAGGCGCTGATCCACCAGGAGGCCTGGTCACAGACGGGCCGGGGGGGCGTTGACCCCCGAAAACTCTCCAGGTAAACTCCAGGTAAACATCTTGTTTCTAAATTGTGAATTAGCTGTGAGCAGTATAATAATGTCTTATTCTATAAAAATAATCATAAATTTTATGTATATTATGAATAACAACACTCAATTTAAGAGACAGAAACACAAAATAATGTATAACATCAACATTCATACTGCAGTTTACCATATCCTTAGTCTTCGGGCACAAAAATGGCTTCACAAAAACATCCAGAAAGATCAGTTTTATAAACAGTTGTAGTTTTGAGAGGCTCCAGAGGTGGCTGAGATGCAACAAAATATAGAGAGAGATCAGATGTATTTAAAGTGTCCAGTGCAATGCCTCCGCCAGTCTGGGAGTTGTCATGCAGTTACAATCTGAACTCCTGAAATGTGTACAAAAAACAGGCTCATGTTTAAGTACTTAAAATATTTAAAAAAAATATTGCATATGGTATATTAAAAAAATCCAATACTGCATCAGAGAATAGAGCAAAAACGTAAGTGCTTACAAAATTAGAATAAGATTTAGAAGGCTCAGGGAAAATGAATGAGTATGGGGCATATGATGATTAGTCGTGTCATCTGGATGGCTCTGATGTGAGAATTACTCAGTCTGTCAGACTAAGCACTCTCAGTCTGTACAACAATTTACTGGATGACTGTGTGGACCAAGTTTCTTCCTTGGTTCCTTCAAGGAATAAAGAGGTACCTTGAAACCAGTAAAAGGGTATTGATGGTACCCTCATCTTACATGTTCAGCACCAATATCATATTTTCTTATTTAAATACAACACCAGTATCATATCATATTAGATAACGTGAAGGTACTGTACTGATCATACTATAAAGGATAATGATGGCATATCGAAAAAAACAATTAACATAGCCCACCAATCATTGATAACAGTGCAAAAATTGAAGAAACTTAAAAAAAAAAAGGCATTCAAAGTACAAATAATTAAAGATAAATATGGGGACAAGAAATTGTCATTCAGCTATGGTAATCCATTATACACCTCAATCTGATTAATATATATATACATTAAAACAACACCTACAGAAAGACATTCTATTCCTCTTGAAAAAAGTTCCACAGATTGCAATGAAAATCATGACAAAACTAAATTGGCTCACTTATTAAGATAGATTGAGGACTACAGGAACAATCATTAAAAGGAATAAATGTTACTACAACCTAACTTTAGTACGCTATAAATATCTCTGGGAGGCTACACAATAAAGATTTAGATTTAACCAAATATAAACTTTAACACAACAATTCTCACAAACTTTACCATTACATACTAAATTAAAAAATAATCTAAAAATTTAAGGACAAATCATTCACAAATGTTTAAAAGCTGTCCAAATATTTCATGTAAAGTGGAATCAGTATTATTAACTTTACTTACAGCAAAAAATTCCCTACAGTGTTGTATAAGAAGTAATGGAGATTGATCCAGTATCTCACAAGTAAGATCACCACTATTCTGGCTAAGTTTTGAATGTAAAAATCCTCTGAACTTTAATTTCTGACACAGGACTTTAAAGGTCTCATTCTTGCACAAATCACATTGTAGTTTCAAATTATATAAGGAATACTGAGGACTGATCTGACAATCTCACACACATCTAAAAGAAAATTGAAGCCACTCACCTCTCTTCACTGAAAACATTCTGTAGTGTGTTAACTGAGAGCCTCATACTTAGTAGCTGGAGATCTTTATGACCATCATGTAGCAGGAACACCTGACTGAAAATAAAAATTATAAAATAATATTAAGTAATAATTGGTTCAGTAAGTCTACATCAGTCCAGTGTACTTAATTATGAAATGGAAAACTCTAAAATGAATACATTAAACATGTAAAGTGAAACTGGTATTTCTAAACACTACACTATCTACATCATTAGGAAGAATTAAAACCCAATGTAGGAAAGTTAAACTTTGCGATTCTGACACATTATATGTATTAGACAATGTCCAATAAAAATTCACTTTGTTAACCTCTAATTTACTTCATTACTCCATTTGATTAAATGTGAAAATTCTTCTATAATAAACCTATTACACTAAACTAACTATGGAAATAAATTTTTGAATGTTATTAATTTTACAAGAAATTCCTATCCCACTTCTAAAAGTAATATAATCTATAACCAAAATTATTGACTGAAGGAAAGATAAATCTAAGAAAATGACTTAAGAACATGACATACAAGATCCTAAAATAAAATAACCATAGGGTTCAGTGTTTCCCCCTGAATAAAAAATTGAAATTAATTACAGCCTTCTGAAATAACACAAGAAGTAAAACATCTAACCTGGTCATTGGAGACAGTAAGAATTTCTTGATGTTGCCTGTTATGTTTAATAATGTAACCAATGTCTCAGTTTTCTGGTCAGTATTGAAAGTCTTAATCTTGACTTCATTTGATGCCACTGACTCTCTTTCAGCCCAGAGAATCACTTCACCAATCCAGTCTACTGCCAACCCAACACCTTATCATTAAGCCGCAAAAGCTAAAAATGAAATAAAATACACTGATTATCAGAAATGATATTTTAATTTGATCTGCAACTATTAGGAATGCTTAATAAAGCACTTAATATATACTGTCAAGTTATTACAGTCTTACCTCATAATGCATTCTAATCAATACTATATACATATACGTACATATATCTGAAAGCCTTTCATCATATGACTAACATAAAAATTTGCAATGACTAAAAACAGAAATGGTAACTTTATACATCTAAGTAAAAAATAAATTAAGTTTTAATATTGTACCATATTCTACATACCCTCTCAGTAGAGTTTGTCTTCATGTCAGTTAAATATATATCTGAATTCATATCCATCCATGCAAAGGAGGAATTCTTTAGTAAAGGTGTTGCCCACTGTACTCTGGAATTCTCACTTAATACCTCCACCTCCTCTTGAAGGTCTGCATCAAGCTTAATAAGAGACTTGTCACTGACCACGAGGAGAGATGGAGTTGGCTTGTGCTGCTGGAGAGATTCTGTTACTCCAAAACTATAAGGCCCTTTTCCCATCTCATTGATTGCAGCAACCTAAAAGTATGATGTTCTATAAAGCTACACCCACAAAATTATAATGATGAACTAGAATAATGTTAAAACTCAATTACTGTATCAAGCTGAATCTATTATATAACTCAAAAAATAATTCAAATCTAATCAGATGATTTATATTCAGTATAATGCTGTAGATGAATGCCTAGTATTTAGTTGACTGATTTTTTTTTATATAATTATTTTGCTTATGGGAGATTCTAAAGAAAAATTGCAAAGGTTAGTGGATGAGTTTGAGAATGTGTGTAAAGGTAGAAAGTTGAAAGTGAACATAGAAAAGAGTAAGGTGATGAGGGTATCAAATGATTTAGATAAAGAAAAATTGGATATCAAATTGGGGAGGAGGAGTATGGAAGAAGTGAATGTTTTCAGATACTTGGGAGTTGACGTGTCGGCGGATGGGTTTATGAAGGATGAGGTTAATCATAGAATTGATGAGGGAAAAAAGGTGAGTGGTGCGTTGAGGTATATGTGGAGTCAAAAAACGTTATCTATGGAGGAAAAGAAGGGAATGTATGAAAGTATAGTAGTACCAACACTCTTATATGGATGTGAAGCTTGGGTGATAAATGCAGCAGCGAGGAGACGGTTGGAGGCAGTGGAGATGTCCTGTCTAAGGGCAATGTGTGGTGTAAATATTATGCAGAAAATTCGGAGTGTAGAAATTAGGAGAAGGTGTGGAGTTAATAAAAGCATTAGTCAGAGGGCAGAAGAGGGGTTGTTGAGGTGGTTTGGTCATTTAGAGAGAATGGATCAAAGTAGAATGACATGGAAAGCATATAAATCTATAGGGGAAGGAAGGAGGGGTAGGGGTCGTCCTCGAAAGGGTTGGAAAGAGGGGGTAAAGGAGGTTTTGTGGGCAAGGGGCTTGGACGTCCAGCAAGCATGCATGAGCGTGTTAGATAGGAGTGAATGGAGACGAATGATACTTGGGACCTGACGATCTGTTGGAGTGTGAGCAGGGTAATATTTAGTGAAGGGATTCAGGGAAACCGGTTATTTTCATATAGTCGGACTTGAGTCCTGGAAATGGGAAGTACAATGCCTGCACTTTAAAGGAGGGGTTTGGGATATTGGCAGTTTGGAGGGATATATTGTGTATCTTTATATGTGTATGCTTCTAGACTGTTGTATTCTGAGCACCTCTGCAAAAGCAGTGATAATGTGTGAGTGTGGTGAAAGTGTTGAATGATGATGAAAGTATTTTCTTTTCGGGGATTTTCTTTCTTTTTTGGGTCACCCTGCCTCGGTGGGAGACGACCTACTTGTTGAAAAAACAAAAAATTATTTAGAAGTTAATGCAGCAATTTTCTGTGCTTGCAGACAGTAAGTATTCATTTACTGCTTCACTGTGGACAGCAACTTCATAAATATATATGTATTATCTGAGTTCTTAAGGAACCAGTACAGATAATATAAACTCATTCATTCTCCTCTTACCTTGAACCTATATAAATGGTCAGAACTCAGATTTTCAATTGTTAACTGGAACACCTTGCCATTCACAATTTCACTTTTGCATTTCTCTTCAACTTCTGCAGTGCAGTAAAGTATCTTAATTAATTATTTCGCCATTTGGTTTTTCTGGAGGAGACCAACGTAGGTAGATCTTCGCAACTGAATCCTGTCAAGCAGCATGAGACAACTTTATTATCCATAAAAAGTTCTACTTTTCAATCATCATACTGCTTCTAGTTATTAATATACAACTGACAATGCATGATCTTCATGTATTACTGTATTTATATATTTTACTCTCATTAACCCGTAAACGGTCCAAACGTATATATACGTTTTTTCAACAATTAATAGTATGTAAAAAAGTAATCTTTTTTTTTTTTTTACATTTGAAAATGTGTAAGAAAACTTTGATCTATGTTTTTTTTATATTGAAAAGAAGGTAAAAAAAAGCTAGATCTACGTTGGAAGCAACTACGCAGGTGAACGTAGATCTGCTTGGACCATTTCCGGTTAAGGAAGGTAAGTACATACCTGAACTTAGGTACAAATGGCCGCAGGTCTTGAGGCGACTTCGGGTAAGTGTGCTGGTGTATGAAGTTTTCCAAAAGCGTACCTGCACTCCAGTCCTGTAATGCCTACTTACTGATACCTGAAGAAGAATACGGGGCAGTACATCTTCGTAAGGAATGATAGTTTCATTCGTGAGAAATGCTTTTTGTTGTTGCCATTGTCAATGAGACATCAAACATAAGGCTAACCATAATAACCTTAGTGATGGGATTCCATTTCGAAGAAAAATTGTCCAGGTTCCTTTCACTAGAAGAGAATTAGCATCAATCAGCCCTGGAGTTACTAACGGTCTTTCAACACCATCTGAAAACAGTTGAAATACAACAAAACCTCATCATCAATGAAGCGCAGGGGAGTAGAAGGAAATCTATCAAAAACTGTACAACACAAGTAGTATAGTACATATGATGATAAGAATATATACAGTACCACAATGTAAATTAAAAAACTGCTATAAAGTACAAACAAAAGCCCGTATCTAAATTATTGTTCTATGTAAACCTAACTCTTTTAAATTACGAATCACAGAAAAATTAACTGTCAGGCAATGTCATTTTAAAAATCCCTTGCAAGGTTCAGGCCCTTGAAAAGATAACCTGGAACAGGCTGTAGGTCTGGAAGTACCACAATGAAATGGAAACTCCTAAATTCGAAGTGGTGAATAGCGGCATGAGTTGTTGAGGTTTGTATCCTAGACAACTACATCTCCGTCTTCTCCGTGCCACACAGACGCTACTCAGATACCACATTGACCAGTGAAAACACACAAATGAGTTACAGGTAACAGTATTAAAAATAACCATAACTATTCTTAGATGTAATTTAACTTTGCCACTACAGTACTATATAATTTCAGAGAAAGAAAAGAGTAAAGTGATTACCCATAGGATGAAAGACTGTGATTTACAAGGTTAAAGCTAGTATTCTTTCTGAGATGAAAGTTTTTAGACGCACAGACCTGAGAAGTTTGTGTCCGTAACTTTATATCAGTTTACTCAAAGCTACTCATATTGTGCTGATGATTAGCCTCAACAACTTACTACTTCCAAATTACGATGTCTGTTTTTCATTGTTTAACATTAGTTCTAGATTGTAATAACAGTACATCAGAATGTAAATAGTTCCATTGTAATACCCAAATTTCATTGTTTTAAATATTACTAAACTGAAATATATTCATATTGTCAATTGTTAAATTGTTACAACTGTAAACTATAATCTTTAATAACTAATTCAATAGTGCAATAAGTCCTATACTAGACGTATCATAAACAATGAAGCTTACCGGACTGAAATATTCAAGTTCTCCTGAACTCACTGTAACTTAATACATCTAATGACCATATGAAACTGTATATTATTGCCTTCCTAACTAGTTTAATCTTTAAGCTTGTCCAAAATGCACGACATACAAAGGGCTTTTGGTAAGTACAACCACTATTATATTCCTCGTACACCCATGTAAATTGGTCAAAATAAACACTTAATCTTAAGCTCTTAATAAAGAATGCTGGTATCGAAGTCCATAGATAAATAATTACAATACTAATACACTGCAACCACAGATTAGAATATCCAAGTTCATTGATCCACTGGTAGAAAAATCAATTTTTTTTTTCAATGTCAACTTATTGCAAAGACCCGTGAATGTTAAAATTAATATCTCTCACACATTTTTTTCTAACACTAGTATATTTTACAAGACTTGTTCAAAAGAACCGTTTTTCATTTTTAATGTATTTTGACTAATTAGTAGACATGAGCTGTTGATACTTTACGTATCTGATACTCAAACAAAAAAAAAAAAAAAAAAAAGATTTTTTGAACACAGGCTGGCTGTCTCCCACCGAACAGGTGGGTAGGGCCAGAGGCATGCAGAAACCACAGTTTTAGATGCCACTCTACACAAAAATATCTCAAATCCAATCCTTTAGAGAGGAGTCACTGTAACTTTCCCACTCCAGACTCAAAATAACATCAAATAAAATAGGTTACATGACACTAGCATAGAGGGAAGTTGCGTCTTATTATCTGGTCATACAAACATGTTACGCGGAGGTTAGTGAAAATGCAAAATCAAGTGGTATTGTAGTACCTCGAGTTTTCGAACAACTCCCAACTCGAACAATTATGTAAGTGATATTTCTATAATTTTGGGGGCTTCTCAATGTAATTTTTGGGGTCTGAACAGACTAATCTAATTTACATTATTCCAATGGGAACAAATTTGTTCGTAACGCACTCAAATAGCCGTCTTGGAATGATTAAGTTCATAACTCAAGTACCACCTGT